GAACATAAACTAGTAACTTACACACTTCCCTAGACTATGTTACTACCTCCATAGTAGGTAGGAACATCTATGTAGTGTCATGCAATGATGTATTTATTAGGTTATAGACTCATTGTTTCTTGGAGTGTGTGATGTTCCGGTAACTTAGCTAGTTACCACAGGCACCTTTCTCTTCATTAAATATGTGCCACATAAGCAAAGTTGTATTGGAGTGTGTGATGTTACTCCTAAGTTCCTCCCCATTGTGACCAGCCTTATTGCAAGCTCGGACACGAAGATCGAAATGCCTCGAAACTTCTACGCACCATTGATTTTAGCGTGGAAAATCAAATAGCCAGACAGATGTGCCTTGGTAAGCTTGATCCTTTTGGTGATCTCTTTTTGCTTCTTGGCCTTGAGCTTAGGTCGTTGGCCATGGATCTACGACGTTGCACGCCGCTTGGTCGTGTCGATCGCTGGCTTGTGGACATTCTTCAGGAGCTCCTTCTCAATGTCGGTCATGCCCCGTGGCAGCTCAATCTCCCGGTACAACTGCTTCAAGTCAGCATCAACAATAATCTTTGATCTCCGATCATTTGGGTACGCGATGTCCTCCTCGGAGTCCATACTTGACAGCCATAAGAGACTATATGTCTATCTTCCTGTAGTGTTCAATGATCAAGAGAGAATGCAGTTTGGTCAGCATGATGGCCACTTCAGGCAATGAAAAGATATTTCATTAATCAAAAGGTGTAAATTCATTGACATGATTAAAAAATAATCACCGATGCATTTACCTTGTAAGAGAAACACTTCCCATCAAATCGTACTTCGGGATTGTTTGTCAGACTATTAAAGGCTGCCTTGTTACTATTAACTGCAACATATGTTACTTAAAATTTCCAACTAGAGCAGTTGCAATTTGCCAGAGTTTCTAAATACAGGCCGTGCAAAACGACGCCTAGCCAGCCGCCTACTACCCAAAAAAACTAGGATTTCTCTGCCTCCCGCCAGCGCCGGCGTCGGTTCGCCCCGTCTACCGTGGCCTTAGGGCCATGGGGACGGAGTGGATCCTGGCCTTTGCCGGTGGGAGGGCTTCGTTTTTAGATCCTTTTTTGAGATTTGTTAGGTTTTGTGTCCTACTGAGGAAGGCGAGGCGGCGGCTACTCCCTAAAGATGGAATAAAGGTCTTCCCGCATAGTCCCTGTTCCAGTGATGCATCTAGCATCGTCGGTGGACGTGTGGAGGTGTGTCTTCGGTGGATCTGTCTCTGGTGGATTTGCTCGGATCTGTTCGTCGTTCATCTTTTTTCGTGTCTCTTCAGGTTAGATCCTTCTTATCTACACTCTTCATCGGCGGTTGCTGTTCTGGTGCGTTGGTTCTACAGGGGCCTTAGCACGACGACTTCCCGATTGTCTACTACAACAAGGTTTGCCCGTCTCCGGCGAGGGAGGGGCGATGACAGCGGCGACTTTGGCTCGCTTCAGTGCTTATAGTCGTCGCTAGGTGGTCTACGGATCTGGATGTAATTTTTATTCTAGTGTTCGTTGTACTATCATGATTGAAGATGAATAGATTGAAAGTTTATCCCGCAAAAAAAAAACTGCAACATATGTTGCTTTATTTATTTACTCTACTGTATTAGCAAGTCTTGTCTACAGGTTCGAAAGAAAGGAGGAGTATTATTTTACACGAAACACATTATAACATATACTTGAGAACAAAATTATAAGAGAACAATTTTTTTGTTACCGTACTACGAAGTCTATCATTAAGCAAATAAGTTGAAAATAAATCTAGAATTAAATACGCGAAATAAGGTGCAAAACCATTTTTCAGGCTTGAATAAATATATCTAGTTTTTCAAGAACCACCAGTAATTGACAATTGAGAGGGTTGTTATATACTATTTATCACAAAAGGCATCAATACAGTGGGAAAGGATGGCATTCCGCGCGAAAACAGTGGTGTGAGTATCCAAATGCGTGGGCTCCGACTTGAATATGTGTGGGCAGGGCGTTTCAGCGTTTGACGTGGCGGAGGCCCAGACTCCCTCTAGCCACAATGGGTAGTAACATAGACTAGTAACATGCATATATTACTAGCTAGTTTATGTTATTACTTTTATAGTGAGGAGTACTTCCTCCGTCACGGTTTAGAAGGCATATTTGAAAATTCTCTAAGACCTAGATGGTTATCTATTGGTTGTGAGATGTGCTAAAAAATAACATTCACACTACGTATACATATAGAAATAGTATACGGAGTACTAATTAGCTACTAGAAATAAATGCAATGCGCCCTAAACCTTATTTATTGTGGAAACGTACGCAAATTTAACTGTGCCTTCTAAACCGTGACGGAGGGAGTAACATATATGTGGTAACATGTAACACTTCATTTATTAGGCTAGACTCATCTTGTCTTGATATGTGTAACGTTACTCATACTACTAGTAAGAGCAAGTATAATAGAGATGAGTCAGCGGGCTATAAGAAATAAACTAGTATATTTCTGTTTAGTTGGAGGAAAGAGAAGAGGAGAGAGAAGGTAAGCGGACTCTTCGTGAGGAGCCAGCTCTAGCACGTGCTCCTAGGCACTTTGTGAGAATGAAAGGTGGGTTACATAATAAAAAAAAGTAGTACACTCTTTTGATCTACTATTGTACATGTTGACTATAAGATGGATTGTATATGACATGGCACTGGCTTATAGCCAGCAGCTGGCTATACTATTAACCATGCTCTAACTAGCTATGTTACCACTTTTCTCTCTTTCTTTATTTATTATTTGCCACATCATCTATTTTATCTAGATATGTGTGATGTTACTCCTATGTTAACTCCCACTATGAGACTAGTCATAGTGGGAGTAACTTAGCAAGTAACATAGCGCACTCTGAGAAATTTTTGCTTATATGACATGTAGTTAATGAGAAGTGGTAACATAATATGTTACTGTAACATAGCATTTTTCAAGATAAGATGAGTCTACAAGCTAATTAATGAAGTTCTCTGTGACACTACTATTATGTTACTTTGCACTATGAAGATAGTAATTTAGACTAGTGTCATATGCATGACACTAGTATAAGTTACTCCCCATTATGACCAGCCTGAGTCTCATTTGCTACCGGCTTGTGAGATTTCAGACAGACGGACCGGTCCGAACAATTTTTATTACTGTCGGTGGATGACAAAAAGGATCTGAACAGTCTGATCCGACGACGAGGCGACAGTATCTAGGAGCTGCTGAGGGCACGTCCCCGACCAATGCACGCTCCGCAACTGCTTGGTCCCGTCACACGTGGCGATGCTCAGTTGCTACGTTCAAAGCCGCCCTCCGTGGCAACTCGAGGTGACTTTTCTGTGTCTGCAAGAATCTTTGTGTACTGGTCTGTCTCCTGTATGTATTTTTTTTAATAGAAAAGAGAAAGAATACACTGGAACGCCTCCGGGCCTCTCTTGTAAAAGGAAAAGAAACAGCAGACAGACTTGCATGTCACATTTGAAACACGTACGCACGTTCTTGACCTCGATGGTTACCATCAAATTCTTGGAACTCGTTCACGATTCAAACCCATTTCGAGGTTCTTCCTAGGGAGGCGCACCTGATGTTTCCATCGTTAGTAGGACGGGCGAAAGATCAACGCTGACAGTGGACTAGAATCTGGCTGGGCCGAATCGGTCAGTGTTCACTCGTCGAGATTCTGCCATCTGATTCGGACAGTAACATTGATAGATGTTCTTTTTTGTGAGTGTCATCTCTTCGTTTCATTGCCCTATGAACGAGCAACAGAATACAGCAACCAATGCCACATGCTGCCAAAGCGACCTAGACTACTGCTCACAGCATATATTAAGTTTTGCTCCCTCCGATCTCACAATATAAAAACGTTTAGTGCTAAAAACGCTCCCTCCGTCTCTTAATGTAAGTGTTTACTGGCAAAAGCGCTTTTACATTATGAAACGGAGATAGTAATAGTATTAACATGGGGATGACTAGCTGACATTAATCCATGTGAGATCGCGTCGGGAGTGTACCCGCTGCACGGATCACCACGAAGCTCAACCTCCCTTGCTGCTGCCATTTAGAAAGGAAGAACACACATGGAGAAAGTACTTTCTTTCAAAAAACAAAGTAAAACATGTGAACACATGCACCACGCGTCACGCTGCTAATCATCCAAGGACCGCTGGGTTTCACACTAGCAGAAAGATCTTACCGTGATGCACCGTCGTTTACGGGTCGTTCCATCTGACGTGGTAGTTTGCTGGGTTTTAGTTTCCCGAAACTCGGCAGAGGCTGTTTACGTGTTTGTCAACTGTCTAGTTATAAAAACTGAGCAAATTAATGAGCGCCGTCGTACTTCCAGCCAAGTCTTGTTTGCCGAGAACAGATCTCGGCAACACAATGTGGAGTTTTATCCGTGCTTTGCCGAGTACCCTAACTCAGCAAGGTAGTCGATTCCAGTAGTGTACGATGTTAACCTCGTTACCGATTGTTGTATTACTCAAATTTTAGTTACATGATCATGCAATTAACCTGCATTTTCCAGCAGATTACTAACTTGTATAGCATGCCTTACAAAAAGAATGCAAATATTCATATTCATCACAGCTGGTATTATTGCTACAAACAAATAAATCTCATTATCCTCACTACACATGCATCTCCTTTATTATGAGCCACATAGAAAAAAAGAAAGTATCTTGAAAAAAAAAACTTCAATGAAGATAATGGATAATTACAACACATTGTTTGCCTGATATAGGTTCCACTCTTGATCAACGACCAGCAACCATGGGTGCCGCTAATTAACAGTTGCATCCGCAGATTAAAAAAATTCACACTTGTTTTCTCTGGACAATGCAATCGTGAACCGATCGTTTCTAGATCCGACGGACCAGATGAAGTGTGACATAATTACCTCCAATGTAATGGTGTATGTATGATATGAGCTTCAGTATATATGATGTGCAGTCCTGCTACACTGACTGGATGATGATAAAAACAATTAATCAATTGAGAGGGCAGAAGGGCGTGCCGGGCTTCTCCCTGTGGCTGGGGATGACGAAGTGCCTGATCCGGCCGACCTGTTCCGCGAGGTACGCGTCGCACAGGAACGCCTTGGAGAACCTGTCCTCCACCGTCCGGTCCACGTCGTGCACGAACACGTCGGTCGCCCCGTCGCCGGGCCGCCGCGCGCGCGCCACCATGCCGGCGGTGTAGATGGCGCCCATCCTCCCGGGCGCCTCGGGCACCCACCCCGTGGGCGCGTCCACCATGACGAGGTCCCACTCGACCTCGTGGAACGCGGCGGGGAGGCCGCGGAGCGCGAGCCGGCAGGAGGCCTCGGCGGCGGCGGCGAGGTCCGGCTGCGCGGTGCAGCCCGGGTGGTCCCGGAGGGCGATGAGCTCGTCGGCCTCGGTGAGGCGGGTGTCGTAGACGACGTGGTAGGACTCGAGGCCCGGGTGCTTGGCGCGGACGGATGCGATCCAGGACGCGTCCTCCTCGAGGAACACGGTGCGGCCGCCGTGGTTGAGCGCCGCCCACATGGGGCTGTCGAGGCCCAGCCCGAACACCAGGAAGTTGCAGGGCGAGCGGCGCTGCAGGACGCGCAGCGACACCCCGATCTCCGCCGCCGTCTGCTGCGGCGTCGAGTTGGACGTCGCGTAGTGCACCAGCGCGTCGGCCACCGGCGCCGGCAGCTTGGAGCACGACCCGTCGCCGCTAAGGTGCAGGTGCGAGGAGGCGGCAGAGCCGGGGGAGGAGGAGGAGGAGAAGAGCGTGCGCGCGGAGAAGAGGAGGAGGAAGGCGGCGAGGGCGGCCACGACGAGGAGGCGGAGGCCGAGGAAGCTCTGCAGCTTGGCCTTCATGGCAACTAGGTGGAGGGCCTTCCGGGCGTGCACCGGGCTCGACATGGACATACGGACGGGCAGCGAGCGACCAAGAAAGCCTCCACGGTTCTCCTTGTTGCCCGTCCTACTCCAATCGGTTCTTGGTTCGCGAGAGGTTTATAGGCGGGGCGATGATGATGCTTGAAGGAATGGCGTTGAAAGATTGGTAATGGAGGGAGGCTCAGATCGATTGTGATGATGGGATTTGGTGACGAGGACAAGAGACCTGCAAACTTTGGTGTAGGGTGGATGGATGGACGGATGGATGGAGACGGGCGGACGGATGGATCATTTGTCTCCTGGGGCTCTTTTTCGGTAGATGGCCTGGAATGGGCCGAATGTGGTGCCTGCGTCTACAGTATTTTATTCTCTCTTTTATTTTTTGTCTTGTTCCCAGAAAAAACTGCTAGACTAAAACTCCTTTAGTTACTAAAAAAACTAAAAATCCATTAGGAAATCAAAAAATCTAGATACAAATGGAGCCAAATAAATATTATTAGATAATAAATCACACCGTATTTTTATGCTGTATTTAATTAGCATTATTGATGTTTATATTTTGCAATAAACTTTGTCAAATTTTACACTTCAAAAAAATATTATATGCACTATATTTTAGAACAGAGAGCATATTGATTTAAGTTAATACTTCAGGATAATATTTTCTATCTAATTGTTGTTCAAGTCAGGATACTCGGTTGTCATCTCTAACTGGAAAAAGGGGAATTTCTGGATTTCTCTGAATTTCTGGATTCTATAAATTAGTTTGTCCTTATTTGGTCTTCCACTTCTATTGATAATAGATGATACCCCGCACATTGTTGCGGGAATATTTTGCAAATTTCAATGTGATTAAACATGAATATTTGAAGTAATAATATAACAGGCTAAAACTGTAATACATATAATTTATTATGTTTGATTTCTATAATTGTAAAATCTTTATTAAATCATAATCGAATGAAAATTCTTATATATGTTTGCATGTTGAAATGGGTCTCTTTTTCATGCATGTTGCATGATGAGGTGGCATGCTTGCATGTTGAGAGGCATATGGTAGACGGGGTGGGCCTTTTCGTATGCATGTTGTGCGTTGATGTGGCATGCTTGCATGTTGAGAGAAATAATTAGTGGGGGCTAGCTATTTAGATATAGAAGATTTGTATTGCTTTGCAAATTCAACCCTAATGCATCTAGAAGAGACTGCATGTTGAGGATAACTCAACTAAATTGTTTAGGAGGAACTAATTTTGATTCCGGAATGGAGAAATAAATATAAGGCATCTCTAACTATTGATAAAGTTTGATTACATACGCTATTTCACTAATTGCTTTCAAGTATTTTGGTTGACTAGTATTGGACCGATCTCAGCTTTTCACGTCCCTTCACTAGGATGACTTTGGACTTGTAAAACTTTTGTAATATTTCAGTATTTTTGATTCATCTGAAGTTGTAATTAATAGACTTGTACTATGGATACTACAATGAATGATAAGTTTTCTTTGTACTTATGCATTATAGTGTTTCATCTCATTGGCATGGGTACAGAACTAGTAATAAAATATTAGATCATTTACATACATAACTAGAAACGGTTATTGGTACCAAACCGCCTGTAAAACACAAGGCATATTACAAGAGGTTATATATTTGAAACTTCCTGTGCTATTTGAGGTACTGGAGGCGATTTCCAAAATGCGCCAGATCGAGTATTAGCTACACAGGCTTTGAGGCAGAATGGGAAACCACCACCGCTCGATATACCAAAACCGCTTGTAATGCTCGATTCTCTACTAGTGGTTGTGGCTTGTATATGACGTGGAAAAGATAGATCTTCTGCTCCCCTAAATCAAGAAGATGCATCTTCTTCTTAAGCCTTTGGGTCCTTTTGTATGTGACCTGTATTGGCCTCCAGGATTGAAACCGACGCAGACATCAAATCCTTAATGACTAAGAAAAGTAAATCTCCTTAGTCTATTTGACTCGGGAGTCCCTGGCATAGTTCCTATTTTTTTGAAGAAAAGGGGCCCCCACCCCATTTTATGAAAAACAAGGGGAAACAAGCCACATAACTGTTCACATCGCTCGGGCTGAGCCAAAGCAGCCCACCTAAAAAAACTTAAACCCCCGCATCTAGCCACAAAAGTTGGGGGACAATATGAAATATCTCAAACGCAATGAAGGAAAGGAAATTAATCAGTCAGGCTAACTATTATAGGCCATCAACGTTTTAGATTGAACGCTCTCAGGATGAAGCCTCACTTGTCACTCCTTTAGCCTGCCCATATCATCGTCTCCAAGCGATGTTCATAAGCTCTCCTCTTTGCTGATCCAGGAGCAACATATACTTTCTCAATAAGATTGATTGACTATCCACACAAAGAATGCTCTATTGATGAAGCATCACACTTACTCTTCCAAGAAGAATTTGGGTATTTTTCCATACCGCACCCTGAAAACAAGATCACAAATTCCACAATGTCAATAAGCCCGACATTACAACAACACATGATATACCAACCATAAACTTTTTTATTTTTGGCACACCACAAAATAGATAGATCAGATATGTTACAAGGAGTTTTGAAGTTAAAGAACTTTGCAACATCGCTCCAGATCTCTTTCGTGACAAGACAATCAAAGAGTAGGTGGTGAATAGACTCGGCCTCGCCACAAAAAAAGACAAGTCAAACCATCTACATGTTATCTTTTACTCAAGTTATCTCTTGCTAAGATTTTATTGTAGAAGGCCAATCACACAAAATCAAATACCTATGGAGAACAATAATTTACCAAAATTCTTCCAAATAGGTGTACAACCCCCCTCCCAATTAATCATGTTATAAAATGAATGAACAAAATAAACCCTAGAAGGTTAAGCATCCACAAAGGTTAATCAGCATTAGCATTAGGAATATAGGTCAACAAGACAACCAACATATCATGCCACCTAACTAGGAAACCAACATCCACACACCTCCTAAAGGACAACTTAAGAGTACATCTTTACCAAACTGTGCAACATGACAATTTTGTTGTTAGCAGATATCAAATACATCCCAAAAGTATGTCATTAAAGTTGTAGCACCTACCCAATGTCATGGAAAAAGCCAATGAAGTTACCATTCCCAATATACCATTTATAAAAAGGTTGAACCCTAGCCAGAGCCCAAGTCACACCCATCCAAAAAGGGGACCCAATGTTTGTTTTAGACCAAAGACATGCTTACACGTTTTGCACTTGTAGTTCAGTAGTGCAATCCAATTTTTGTTTTCACTCATAAAAAATCCCTGGCCCAGGAAGGTAAAAGAGCCATGCTAAAATCTACTAAATTCAGAACACCTAAACTCCCAAGCCCTTTTTCTGGGACACAAGCCCCCAATTTTCTAGGTGATATCTATGAGTATCTCCAAGATTCCCCAGAAAAATTGAGCCATTTGTGAAGTGACTGCAATAATCGCCCACTTAGCAATTTAATAATTGGCATCGGATACATAGGAATGCTAGTGTTTGCAGCAAAACCAATTTGGCTTCATAACTAAGAAGTTTGCCCTCCACCAACAAATTCTCTTGATTATCTTATCTATAATAGGTTGAATGTCCCCTCTCTGAAGTTTAAGATAGTGCAAGCGAACACGCAGATACTTGAGAGGAAAGGAGCCAATCATGTAACATTTTTTGAGATAAAATCTTAGAAGCTCAGCATCAAGATTAATTGTAAATAAGTCACATTTGTCATAGTAAATCTTCATACTAGATAACTGGTCAAAACATGATAATATTTTTTTATATTTCTAGCATAATTGCGGTTCGTGTCAAGCAATGGTATCATATCATCATCGTATTGCAAACTTAATATGCTACTAGGTATTATATGAGAATTATCCCAGAAATAATATTATCTTTGAAAGCTTTTGGCCAGCACACGACAGAAAACATCAGCTAGTAAATTGAAAAGCATGGGGGATAGAGGATCTCCTTGCTTTAAGCCTTTGCCACCAACAAAATAGGAACCATTAACATCATTTATCCAAACATAAAAGGAGCTTTGTTGTAGAATATAAAGAATCCACCCAATCTACATCTTTTCCAAACCCCCTAGAGGTTAGCATCTCCACTAGGAAATCCAAGTTCACCCGGTCATACACTTTTTCATAGTCTAGTTTGAGGATAACCCCAGGCTTACCAGCATTGTACAACTATAGTTTCATGAGATGTAAAAAAACTCCCAAGAATGAACCTCCCTCACGCAAATGTAGATTGACATGGAGAAAATAATCTTTGACCATGGAGGCACACTAGCAAAGGAACCCATGATAGCTTCCTTAATTTCCTGCTCAGAGAAGAATTTTTCTAGAAGATTTTTTTTTCACTTTTAGAGACCAACTCCTCATCTGACCAAAAAATTTCACCCAGGTGTATGTTAGGTTTAAGTTCAAGCCCCAAAAGGTACTTACAGAAGATAGTAGCAATTTCAAGCATGTCTTTAGTGGAATAAACTGGCCCATCAGGACCATTAAGAAGAGAGGCGATTTTCCCTTCTACATAGTATGTCAAACCTGCTTCTAGTTTCTATAATCTCGTACACCATGAGATAGAAGATTATGTCGGTCTTGTAGATGGGTGCATCCCCCTTATCTTCTCATGTCTCATACAAATGAATGCGGCTGTTGACACATAAATTTATAGCATTCGCCTAATTTTGTTGTATGTGTTGTGTCTTGTAAATTTTATGTTCAAATCGCAAATCCATGTTTAGTACATCCAAATGACTTAAACACAATGATTAATTTATGTATAAAATACATTATCCAGTAGCCACAAAAATGTCCAAGAATCCACTATTACTAACTCTAGTTCAAAAAGTGGCATTAAGTTCTAACATATATATGAAAATTCATTGACCCTCTCTCATGTAGATTAGGCACATGCAAAGTATATTTTCATTTTTTTATTTCGGTACACCGAGTTGGGTTAGTAAAGTTAAAGTAGTAAACAAGAAGTGGATTATGATAAGGATTTAATAAA